TCAGCACAGCGCCAACAGAGAGGGGCCAGGGACCCAGGAGGGCAGGGCTGGCCCTCAGTTGGCAGCGTGTCTCTACCCCCAGGGGCGCCGGGCAGACTCCACACACACTCACATCTTTGATTCCAGCTTTATTGGAGCCGTTGCTCCCCTCCAGGGAGTGGACACAGCCCGTCAGAAACCCACCGGCTCTCCTGAAGTGGGCACTGCAGGGGCATGAAGCTTCGGCCACCGCCACCCCTGACCGGGCCACACTGACCCCCTCACCCAAGGGGAGGGCAGCTGCTGATGGACTGAGGGCGGGCGGGGTCTCAGCAGGGGCACTCAATGGCCGAGGGACAGTGCGCGTGACTCGGTGGCGTCAGGAGCCCCGAGCGTCCGTTTCAAGCAGAAGGAAGAGCCTGTCTCAGGGGAGAGCAGCGGCCACCCCTCCCCAGTACCCAGTGTAGGTCACAATAATTTAAGACACTATAGACATCTCAACACTATATAACAATATAAGTTAACCAGGTGCCTTGGCAGAGGACATTGGGCCTGTGGACTCAGGGTGTCCTGGGACCCGAGGAGTGGGGTGGGGGGCATTCACGTTGGCCTGGAGGCTCCCAGGACAGCAGCTAATGGAGTGTCCTGGCATCACTGGGGGCACGCAGGGTGGACGCCAGGGCCCAGACAGTGTCACTCGCCCCAGGCTCATGTCCAGCCCGCTTGGCCGGTCAGCCACCTGAGGACACATTTCGATGGGTGTCTGGGAGAAAACACCCTAAATTTGGGGTGGGGATATGTGGGCAGTAGAGGGTGCACCAGAAGTCACCGCACACCACGTTTCCTGGCAAGTCACCTCCTCTGCCTTGGTCTCCCCAGGAGGGGTGGGGGGTTTGCAGAGGACACAGCCAGGCCCAAGTCCCGGGTTTCCTTTCTCTCCCCATCCCACACATGGTTTAGAACTGAGCCGGACCCCCTCCCGTTCCTGTCTCCCAGGTTTCAGGGTGAGCTGGACTTCAAGGGAGGTTGTGGGCACCCTGGGGAGGTGTCTGGTGGGGCCCTGGCACAATGACACCCTGCATCCAAGTTTTCTCCACATCGAGGTCAGGGCGAAAGGGCCAGATGTGCAAGAAGGCTACTGACAAACCCTCGAAGGCACCTCCGGAGGGGGGGGGAGTGCAGGCCCCAGTGATTTCTCAAGGCATGGGGGCCACCTCACACTAACCTGGGTGTCCCCACAGCTTGTCTTCTGAGGCCAGGAGCCATGGGCTGGGGGTCAGGACACCCAAGCCAAGGCAGGAACCTCCACTCAGGTCTTGGGGCCTCTGGCTAGTGCTCCATTTTGGGCCTCAGTGTCCCCATCTGTCAAATGAGGCAAACACCCTGAACGACTCTCAGCCGCCCCCACCCCCCCGCACTCCCCTAGCACAGTGCCATCCTGGGGTCTGGCTGGCTCCAGAGTGGAGGGGGCTCTGTAAACTTCAAGGTGCCAGGCTGGCGAGGGGCGGGGAGGGTCACAGCCTTGGGGAGGGGAGACAGCACTCCCGGAACCTGACACAGGTGGCGTTTTGACTGGTTTGATACCGTTTTCTAAAAGAAGAGAAGCAGCCAGAGGTCCCTGTCCAGGGCTGTCCTCAGAGGCCCTCTGGGGGCCATGCTGGTCACCAAGCCCCTGCTCAGCTCACCTGGGGACCACCACGCCCAGCCACCTGTCCCCAGGCAGGGCCAGGAGGGCACAGTGCACAAGGATGCTCCAGGGTCCAGGAGAGGAAAAGGGCAGAGAGGGGGTCCGCTATCGTGGGGTACGGGGTTGGGACCGGCTCTGCCTTCATGCTGAGTCCTCCTCTGATACTATGGAAACATAAATAATTTTTGTCGGCATCTGCCCAGACCACCATGGGGCCCCACGGCGGATGCGGCCTGGGAAACAGTGTCACGTGGGGCTGGCGGTGCAGCAGGTCCGTGTTCATGCCACCAGGCGGGGGAGGGGGACACTCAGAGTCTTGTCATCTCTTTGCTTTCCAGGGATACGGGTGTCCTTGAGGTTCACTTTCCCGGAGAGAAGAAAATTAATTCACCGGGCTCGGTCAAGGACACCTCGGCTAAGTCACGGGCACTGTTCTGCCACAGCAAGTGACGGGAATGGCAGGAAGGAGCCACGGGACGGGGAGAGGGCGACGGGCCCAGAGGGAGCCCTCCTGCGTCCGGAGCCCCGCCATCCGCGGCCACCTCTGCCCCAGCCGGCCGCACGGAGCGGGGAAGGCGGGAAGCCCGTGTGCAAACGCGGCAGCGGGGCGGCCGCCCGCGTGGCCGTGGCCGTGGCCGTGGCCGTGGCCGCTCACTTGCAGGTGAAGACCTCCGTGCGCTCGCTGCAGGTGTTGCACTTGACGAAGCAGCACCAGTGGAACTTGCAGTTGCACTGCCAGACCTTGGTGTACTGGTGCGTGTTGTAGCCGCGGCCGCAGCACATGGTGTCGCAGCCGTCCGCGCCCGGCGAGGTGCGGTTGCACAGGCGGCCCTGCGTGCCCACGCTGCCCGTGGCCGCGTCCTCCTCGCAGTAGTTGGGCGACTTCTCGATGTACACCAGGTCCGTCTCCATGGGCTTCTGGTAGCTGCGCAGCTGCTTGATGCGCAGGAAGGTGGGCTGCCGCAGGCGGCTGGCCCGCACCACCTCCACCTGCACGGCCGCGTTGTACTTCTCCTTCAGCAGGTGGCCCACCTCGCGGAACTTGGGCAGCGTGGTCCAGCACGTCTTGGTGGTGCAGGAGCCCGACACGCCGTGGCACTTGCACTCTAGTTTCATGCGCTCCTCCAGCACCTGCGGGCGGCCACAGGGGGGGCTGAGCAGGGAGCGCCCCTCCGCCCGCGCCCCCCCACCC